TTGTGCCAGGTCCCCCCCCGGTAGACCCCCTCCCCCCTCAGGGCCCCGCCCCTTCAAATGTGTCCCAGATAGACGCTGTTGAGCCTGTCGAGGTCGCTGGTGACTCTGGTGCTGCTGGGGGTGCTGAGCCTGGGGGTGCTGACTCTGGGTGTGCTGAGTGTGGGGGTGCTACGCCTGGGGGTGCTGAGCCTGGGGGTGCTGAGCCTGGGGGTGTTGAGCCTTGGGGTGCTGAGCCTGGGGGTATTGAGCCTGGGGGTGCTGAGCCTGGGAGTGTTGAGCCTGGGGGTGCTGAGCCTGGGGGTGCTACGCCTAGGGGTGCTACACCTGGAGGTGCTGAGCCTGGAGGTGCTGAGCCTGAGGGAGCTGGGCCTGCTCGTGTGGCGTCTGGCGGTGCTGTGCTTGGCGGTTCTCCGGGTGCTTCGTCTCGCCGGGAGCCACTCTCTCCACAGGAGCTGCGTTAGTGGTTTGCCCGGCGCTGGAGGCGAGCTGGTGGAGCTGGAGGTTCTGCGGGTACTGGAGGGTCTGCTGCTGCTGAGAATGCTAGTGCCGCGGGTCCCGGAGGTGCTCATACTGGGAATACTGGAGCTACTGGGCCTGCGGGTACTTCTCGAGCTGGAGCTGCTGCGGGTGTTGGCGCGGAGGCTACTGCTATCGGTCCTGGAGGCGGTCCGGATGGGGGTGCTACTGGTGCTGCTAGAGGTACTGGAGCTGGAGGTACTGCTGGTGCTGATGCTGCCGCTGGGGGTACTAGTGCTGTCCCTGCTGTGTCTGGAGTCACCACGCGGCATCGGCCGTACTTCGTTCCGCTCCTTCAGCAGGTTCTTGGTCTCCCGCCTTCTACTGGTCCTCCTCCTACCTTAGAGTGTCCACAGCCTGTCCCGTCACAGTAACAGTTACAGCCGGCCTCCCCACTGCCTGCTCCGTCTCCCTACACTGGTCCTACTGGAGGTCTTGCTGAGCGTCGTGAGCCTGCGTCTCGCCCTGCGTCGCCTGTCCGTGCTGCTCGCACTAGTGGTCGCGGTTCGCGTCAGCGTCCTCCTCCTATCCCTGGCATGCACCGGATGTCCCTGCGTCCGTCCACTGCTCCTCTGCGTGCCCCTTTACCTTCTCCTCCTGAGTCTTCTCTTCCTGCTCTTGCCGACCCGGAGTCGGACTCTCTTCGTGCTGCCAGTCCTACTGTCATGCGTCTCCTTGCTACTGTTGTCACTGACCCTTCCTTTGAGTCCACTGCTGCGTCTGCCCTAGTTGCTGAGCTTGCGACTTTGCTGCTCGCTTTCGCCTAGACTACGCTGCCAGTCTTGTTGCTGAGTCTGAGTCTGTCTATCCTCCGTCCGTCGGGGGTGAGTGTGCCCTTGGCACGGACGTCCTTGAGGACAAGCAAGAGGAGTTCCAGTGCTTGGCCGCTGCTTCACCTCATCTCGTGTCCATACTGCTTACCCCTGAGGGAGACCCGGATGCACTTGACATCCCGACTCCGCGCTCTTACGCGGAGGCGATAGAGGGTCCCTACTCCTCTTAGTGGCAGGCAGCTATGGATGCAGAGATGGCTTCCTGGAAGTTCACAGGCACCTACGTTGACGAGTTTCCCCTGCCTGGGGCGAACATTGTCAGTGGCATGTGGATTTTCAGGGTGAAGCGGCCGCCGGGTTCTCCGCCTGTCTTCAAGGCGCGTTACATGGCTCGTGGCTTCAGTCAGCGGCAGGGAGTTGACTACTTTCAGACCTTCTCTCCCACCCCGAAGATGACCACTCTTCGGGTACTGCTGCACGTAGCTTCTCACCGTGACTACGAGCTACACTCTCTTCACTTCAACACTGCTTTCTAGAAGGGCAGCCTGCACGAGGAGATCTGGCTGCGCCGCCCACCTGGCTTCACTGGGACTTTTCCTCCTGGCACCCAGTGGAGCCTCCGGCGGCCAGTCGACGGTCTTCGCCACGCACCGCGTGAGTGGCGAGACACACTGAGGACTACACTTGCGGCTCTTGGGTTTGCTCCCTCTACTGTTGACCCGTCGTTGTTTTTGCGCACCGACACTTCTCTACCGCCGTTCTACATCCTCGTGTACGTCGACGACTTGGTCTTTGCCACAGCTGACACTGCTGGACTCGCCTACGTGAAGTCCGAGCTGCTGAAGAGACACACGTGCACTGACCTAGGTGAACTGCGCAGCTACCTTGGCTTGCAGATCACCCGGGACAGAGCACGCCGCACCATTACCCTGACTCAGTCACACATGGTGCAGCAGGTCCTTCAGCGCTTCGGCTTCATGTACTCTTCGCCTCAGGCCACTCCTCTGCCTACTCGCCACTCGCTCTCAGCTCTGCCTTCGGATGAGTCCGTAAAGTCGAGTGGCCCGTACCCAGAGCTTGTTGGCTGCCTCATGTACCTGATGACCTGCACACGACCTGACCTTGCATACCCTCTTAGCATTCTCGCACGCTATGTTGCTCCAGGGAGACACAGACCAGAGCACATGGCTGCAGCGAAGAGGGTGTTGCGCTACTTGTGCAGTACGTCGGGCATGGGGCTTGTGCTTGGAGGGCAGAGTCCAGTGGTCCTCACTGGGCACGCAGACGCTTCTTGGGCTGACGACCAGGCTACGCAGCGGTCATCACAGGGTTACACCTTCAGCCTTGGTTCCGGCTCTGTTTCGTGGCGGGCTACTCGCTCGTCTTCTGTTCTCGGCTCCAGTTGTGAGGCTGAGATCTACGCAGGAGCCATGGCTGCTCAGGAGCTTCGCTGGCTCACCTACCTGCTGACTGACCTCGGAGAGCCGCCTCGTTCTCCTCCAGTGCTGTACGTAGACAACAAGGCCAGCATGGCCTTGTGTCGGGAGTAGCGACTGGAGCACAGAACGAAGCACATTGCTCTCCGCTACTTTCTTGCTCGTGAGCTGCAGCAGCGTGGTCAGCTGCGTCTTGCGTACGTGGCCTCTGAGGCCAACACCGCTGATATCTTCACCAAGGCGCTTGCGCCTTGTGATCATCAGCGCTTCTGTACTCAGCTGGGTCTTGTGCCTGCCTTGCCTCACTTGCTCACCTCTTGACCTTGTTTGTACTGTTACATATAAATATACATACACCTGCTCTTGCTTGTCTAACCTTTTATATATATATGTACTCCTGCATGTGAACTGGCCTTGTGGCCTTGAACTTGTGCTCGGAATGTGTGGTGACTTTGTGATCCACCCTGAGCTTGCTTTGCTTTGCTTGACTGGTCTTGTGACCCCTTGTTCTCCCGCACTTTGCCTATGGGGGTGTGTCAGAACATCATAGCTTATGCTTTTGTGTAGGCTATATTGGGGTAGCCGATAAGGGGTACAACCCTATTAGGGTTAGTACTTGTACCCAACTCTTTCATAGTTCATTCATTCTCGTTCATTTTCACATGGGACGGTCGGGGGAGGTTGAGTGGAGGCTGCTCTCCTGTCGTCCGCAGCACCTGTAGTCCGTGGCGCACTTTCCTGGTAGCCCAGAAAGTCTGCTGCGCCTGTCGCCTGTGGGTCCGTTGCTCCTGTAGCTCCTCGTAGCCCGTGAGCCAGTTACTCCAGTAGTCCGGGGCGCTGCCTCGGTAGCCACTGTGCCAGCACCTCTTGTTGCCCGTGTGTCTGCAACTTCAGCCGTCGTCTCCCATCTTCTATCCTCGCACAGTCCCTTCTCCTCCTCACTTGCCCACCGTGAATGCCTCTAGGTTTGCTTATAATTGTGAATTATTACTATGCTTGCTTGTTGTGCTGATTACACCCCACTTTGGCTATGGGTGTGTATCAGAATGTTATAATTGTCTAGCCTGCAGTAGGGTACTCCATAGTGAGTAAAGCCCACTTAGGGTTTGCTATATGTATCCAACTGCTTGCTAGTGAACCTCCTCCTTTTTTCATTCTTCCTTTCTACTGCTAGTTCTGAAAAGTTTCACTAGCAGCAGTTGGGGTACATATAGCAAACCCTAACTGGGTTGTATTCGCTATAGAGCACCCCACTACAGGCTAGATGATAACATTCTGACACTCGGCAAACAAGCCGAACCATAAAAAAAAAAGATAATTGCTAAAAAAACCTAAATTTGAGTTCTTACTATTTATTGAGGGTTTGGACCGCCGACTACTACAGCGCGCACGTCGCATTCTTTTGGAATTGAATTCAGCGTGTCAAATCGTGATTACGTAACAACATAATATATTTTGGGTGATGCATACCACCTACCCAATCGGAAACCACAGAAAAAAAAATAAACTATTACCCGTTCGGAAACAGATGCGACTCGGGAGGGATCAACCCTAAATACCAGGAAGGTCCATTTTTTAGGGTTTATCCATCCCGAAATTACATCCAGGTTCCCAATGAGTTTAGTTTTTTTTTGCTGCCCAAGAGTTTCCGGTAGAGTCGGCTCGGTAAACGACACACGAGCGAAAATGCGAGCCGGTACATGCCACTAGTAGCATAATTACGTGCAATAAATGAAGTCTCTCTGTCAATTACTCCTTGAGAAGCGGTTTGGTAATTTCCGGGCTTCTCGGCCCCTGGTCGATCACCCCTCTGGCACTGTTCGGCCCCTGTATGATCTTCTCCCAACAATCTTCTCGAATGTTGCATCCGTGTCCCAGAAACTTTTCCTTGTATCCACTTCGCTGGACACGTGGCATGTGCTTTCTTGAGGTCACAGTAATCGTGGCTGCACATTCTCTTCGGCTTCATCTCTATCGTGCGATCGGCCACGCTGGCTGCTCTAGATGTCTCTCTTCGGTTTCAAGAGCCTGTCTCCCTCGGCCACCCACACCCAACCCCCCCGACCCCTACCACCATCACATACACACCACTCCCCCCCCACCAGCCCCTAACCCCATTTGCTCTCCTTGCTGCAAATTTCGCACAACTCGCAGTTCTACTTTCGTTCCTGCCTCATCATCGAACCAGTCGCCCACTGCACTGGTTTGTTCTGCACCCACACGTCAAACCCACTCCACGTCGCGCGTCGACTTCCTATCTCGAACAAGCACCAACATGGCTGCTCTGGGCTCCAGTCTCGCTCGTGCTGACGTGGCACTGACAGAGGCTGCCCTCGCGGCCACCTGCTCGCACCGGTCCGCCTTCTCCTCCTTCTCTGGTCTGCGCGCTGCTCCACAGGGCACTGCTGCGCCGCAACTGGCGCAGAGGGCCTGGGCAGCACGCCGAGCCGTCGTGAGGGCCGCCACCACAGTAGCGCCCACGGTAAGATGGCGTCTGCTGCACGTCTTCTGCACTGCTGCACGTCTGATCGGAAAACCTATAGCGCCCGCACTGACTTATCCACCGCACTCAAAATGGCTTCGCACACTGGAAAAGACTTGTTCCCCGTGCGATGGTTGCGCGTGACTGCGTACAGTACTTGCATGCATTATCCGATCGGCGCTTTCGCTTCTAACGACGCGTGCATCTATTCCCCTCGCCCGTGCGCGCCCGCTTCGATGGCGTGCAGTTCACGAACCTGAGGCCGCTGGGCGACCGCGTGCTGGTGCGCATCCAGGAGGTGGAGGAGCGCACTTCGGGCGGCATTCTGCTGCCCACGTCGTCGCAGACGAAGCCGCAGGGCGGCTCCGTGGTGGCCGTGGGCTCTGGCAGGACGTTGGGCGACAAGAAGGTCGCCGTCGACGTGCCCGTGAGTGCCGCGGGGTTGAGGGTTCTGTCCCTCGGGGAGTGCTGGGGAGTGCGTGCTCTTGCGGTGGTCGGTGAGGGAAGGATGTGGGACAGTGTGGGGAAATGGGGGTTGACCCGGCGGCCTGTGGTGTCGAGGCACGTTTGTGTTGGACGAGTATGCGCGGTCTTCACCTAACGATATTCGCACTTTCGTGCCCGGACCCCTAACGTCCCTTCTCCCCTTGTTTTCTTTTCCGCACCTCGCGTCGCTCGACTAATAGTCCGCATAAATAGCAGCGAATACCCCACCAGGAACTTGTCATTCGTTGGTCGCGAGCCCTCATCGTACTGCCCGCTCTGTGCGCTGCGTGGTTGCGGCGAGTGCAGGAGGGCGGCAGCATCGTGTACAGCAAGTACGCGGGCGTGGAGATCGATTTCAACGGCGCGCCGCACCTGCTGCTGAAGGAGGACGACATCGTGGGCGTGTTGGCGTCCGACGACATCGCCGACCTCAAGCCGCTCAACGACCGCGTGCTCATCAAGGTACGGCCGCGTGCTCATCAAGGTACGATCGCGTGACGACCACATGCTCATCAAGGTACGACCGCGTGGCAGCGTAGTTACGGTGCGCATGGGCGTCGATCGTGAACAACCATCACGCGGCGGAGTACTAGTGTCGCAACGGCTCTGTGTGCTCCATGTGGGACCACATTTACGAGAACAAGCTCATGCTCTGCTACGAAACGTTGTTAGCAGGCACATAAAATACCAGCTGTATGATTGCCAGAAGGCTTTCGCAATGATTCATGCACGTGCTTGTCACGCAATATGTTCCTCTCCCGTTCCGTCAAGCTCCTGGTCGCCTCTCGTGACCAGTCCCTGAGCGGTTTTTGAGGTGTCCGTGGGTGTGCGTGTGGGTTGGTGTGGTGGTGTGGTGTGTGGCATCAGGTGGTGGAGTCGGAGTCCAAGACGGCGGGCGGTGTGCTGCTCACGGAGAGCGCCAAGGAGAAGCCAGTCGTTGGCACGGTAAGTTTCGTTATCAGTGGCCCTCACCCCATCACCGCCACACCCTGTGCTGTTGTCCTCACACAATTGATCTTCCTGTGCACACTGATTTATGTGTGCCTTCTTAGGCGACCTTGCCTCTCACGCTCATGCCATTTTTTTTCCGGTGTCCCTGCCTTTTTGCTTGTATTCAGGTGATTGCTGTTGGCCCAGGTGCCCTAGGCGAGGATGGTTCAAGGAAGCCTGTCGACATCGCAGATGGTGCCACTGTTCTCTATGCCAAGTTTGCAGGCAATGAATTCAAGGGCAAGGATGGCTCACCATATGTTGTGCTCAGGTCTTCGGATGTGATGGCTGTGCTTTCTTAGAGAATTTCCATGCCTTAGGATGTTGAGTGAAAGAAAACCCCTTATCTTTCGGAAGTGAGTGAAACGAAGAAACAAAGATAATTAGGTTGATACCAACAGGAAAGTTAAGTTAAGAGAAACTAATTGGTGGTGTGAATCAGGTTGAGATCAGGTCCTCGGATTCTTTTAAGATACACTCAGGAATTTTTGTTAAATGTATCTGTAAACAACTATAACTGCCAACAGTAGGGTAGAGCTTATTGTAGTCATGCACCGTCATCTCTCGGTTGATTGTTGTGCCTGTTATGTTTGTACCTGTATGTAGATATACCCGTATGTTTATATCTCCTGTCTTCTATCTTCTCCAATATATTGTGCCTGTAGATAGGCTACAGTGAGTTGCCCTCTAAAGGGTACAACACTTTAGGTTGACTGTAAGGAAATTTCCTTTTCCTTACCGTCAGCCCCCGGATAGAAGCGCCCCTGGGGTTATTAAAAAACACGTTTTTTTAGGGGGTGGACTTATAATCGAGGATTTTTATAAGCGCCGGGGCTTATATAATAGCATATATAAAAAATTTCGTTTGTACACCAAACTGTAGATCCCGTTCTCGCGAGTTGAATCGAGTCAAAAATATACAGGGTTGCGATTGAGAATCTCGCTTGCAAGTTGGCAGGGATTGATTCCCTGCCAACACACACAGTCAGAATGAGTCAACGTGCACCCCCGACAGCTCATTCTGACTGGACGCGCTGGCAGTGAACCGAGCGAGGGTGAAGGGCATCGAAATTCAAAATGTGGGAATGGAGATGTTGAGTTTCGTTACGATGAATTCAGTAAAATTATAGTTAGAAAAAAAAGGGTGGCGCTTATAATCCGTAAGCCTTCAGGGGTGCGCTTATAATCGAGGACCGGATATAAGCGCCCTCATCCTTTTATAAGCGCCGGCGCTTATCCGAGGCCTGCGCTTCTATCCGGGGGCTTACGGTACTTCGCGTCCCTGCTCAGCGAGTACACCACTATTCGCGCCAACAGCAATCAACAGTAATCCGTTACCACTTGCGACATTCGCCTCTGTTGGGAACAAACAGTCCTAAGCGCCTCTGTCGTGTCGAAACACCAAGACACAAGCGAAGCAGCGCATATCGAAGCACCAGCGAGTCAACCCTCGGAGGTTGATGTAACCGCTAGAGGTTACGCGAAAGTCAAAGGTCAGCGACCTTTGACCTGACAAATACAGCGCAACAGCAAAGACACAGAACTGACTCGACAATGAGCAGTTGTCCGAGTCGCACTATATCGAACCGCAACAGTAAAGTAGTTATAATTATGTCTCTTCATATTCTCTATATTCATATATATAGTCTTGTATCTCTTTGCTTTAATTAACTTACTTTGCCCTCACATACCAGCGCAAGGTGGTTCAAGGACTTTACTCAAAACGCTTCCGCTACTACATCACTTCACAAAAGACTTTAACTCTACCAAAGATCCTAAGGGGCTTTCAGCCCAACATGGTATTAGAGCAGGTTAGAGTTAAATTATTTCTCCTCAATACTTAATACACCAAGAAGATATGTCTACTAGAAAGGAGAGGAGCTCCTCCAACGACTCTCCCGGTACTACTCCTACTCCACCTCCTGCCTCTGGCCTACAGACAGAGGAAGGAACAACAACGAGACCGGCAGCTCGGTCTACTGAAACTCCCGCAAACCAAGGCGTGGGCTTCGATCCAAGCATGATGGAGAAATTCTTCTCCTTCATGTCCTTCTACGAGCAGCATCAACAAGGAGGACCTGCGCAATCACACAACAGCAACAACAACGGAGCAACACCCATGAGTCTCGACGGCTCATCATATGCACGGGGAAACCAGCAACAACAACCTACCTTTGCTCCGTACGAGCGCAGATCCATTAGCTTCATGCCACAACCACATCCCTCACATGGACAAGAAAAACAACTGGACGCACTGCAAGTTCAGTCGCAGTTCGCACATGTTCTGAAGATGCAGACGTCAAGACCTTTCGATGGAAAGGATTTCTTCACCTGGTCGTTCGAGTTTGAACTGATGATAGAAGGCGCGCAGATACTCGGGTTCTTCGACGGGACTCTGCCATATCCAACAAACGGCACACAGTATGAGAAGCAGCAGTACACCTATCAGTCAATGATGGCGTACACGATCCTACTGAGAAATATCACCCCGACTCAACAGCAGAACATAAGGACCTACCGAGGTTACGGTAACTCCGCGGAGCTCGCGTACAACCACCTGAAGAGCCTGTATCAAGCAACAGACAGTGTAAGTCAAAGTCGGTTAATGGCGCAACTGACAACAGTCGAAATGAAACCAGGGGAGAAAGGACTGGCATATATCAGTCGATGTCGCGAATTGCGCGACAAGCTTCTTCGATGCGGAGGGTCGATCTCTGAAGACGCCTTCGTGACAGTCATCATCGGCGGCGTCGGTCCTCAATGGCGCGCCACAAAGGCCATCCTCCGAGCTCACGGGAGAATCTCCGAAGCAGCGCTCTGCGCCGAAATCCATGCAGAGCAGCAAGACATGGACCTGCAAGAAGAACGACATAAAGGGAAGACGTGAGCACCAGAGTTCGCGTTCCACACCCAGCGACGCTACAACAACAACAACAATCGGTAGCAACAACTGAAGCCAGTACCTCCGTTCTGCCACATCTGCAAAACTTCAGGGCATCCTCGTACGCACTGCCCAAATCGACAACGCCAACTTCGTCCTTCAAGCAGCCTAGTCACTTCAACGCAAGCAAACCCGACAACTTCAGTCCACGTCTCAACAACTTCAACAGGACAACCTGCAAAAGAAACAAGAAACATCGTCAGCTGCATGGCAAGGCTGAGTGACTCCTGCACAACTGAGTCACCACCATATTACTCACCAGAAGAACAACTCGACAACAGTACGCCTCGCCGCGAGTCACTTCAACCAAACCCGACGTACGTCGCCATCGCCCAACGAGCCGTCCGGGAAGGACACATGGTTCTTGGACAGTTGCTGCGGACAACACATGTGCTCTTCAGGACGTTTCGTTCAACGCGAGCAGCAACTTGAACGAGAAGTCGTCATCACTGTCGCCAATAATAAGAACCTGCGCACACGACGACAAGGAGTAGTGCAACTTCAGTCACGGGAGACGAATGTCGTATTACAAATGTCAAAAGTCCTGATAGCTGAAGGACTCGGCTACAACCTACTGAGCGTCAGTCAGTTGATGGCGAAAGGCATACATCTGGAAGCCAACAGTACCACCCAGGAGTTCAAGCTGTACCACGGGAAGGGCGGCCTCTACATCGGAAAAGCGATCCTGAAGAATAATGTCTTCGTCCTCAACTTCGTTCCAGACCTTCACATCCTGGACACACCCGTCGGATCTCGACCCCGACTAAGTCCGGAAGGCTTCTGGTATTCACATACCATCCCTGAAGCAGAACGAAAACGTGCGTTAGTAACAATACAACATTCAGCAGCAGCAGAAACATCATCGGCAGCAGCAGAGACAACATCGGCAGCAGCAGAGACAACATTGGCAGCAGCAGAAACATCATCGGCAGCAGAGACATCATCGGCAACAGCAGAAACATCGTCAGCAGCAGCAAGAACACCGACACCAGTCCTAGTTGACGAAGCACCACCAACACCCGCACAGCAGCTAAATCCGACTCAACGGGAAGTCCACAGAAGTGCAAACTTCGTCGCCATCTTCTACTCCAACTCCGACGCATATCGACGCTCACCCGGACACCGCGCCTCCGAAGATATCTGGCACGCACGCATGGGACACCCAAGCAACACTGTGTTAAACAACACAGTAAGAGCAGGAGTCCTTGACAAGGACTCATTACTACTACCCGACGGCAGAGAACTTCAACGGGCACGAGGAACTTGCCTTACCTGTCCCGAAGCCGACTTACCACACAGCTTGTACATTCCTCACCACAACCCGAGCGCACCCGCGTACGCACCACTCGAGAAAGTGTACAGCGATATCCTGTTCAATTGGGAACCAGGACAAGTTACATACAACTACACGATCACCTTCATCGACGCCGCCGCCCGTTACGTCTGGCACCTAAACCTACCCAGCCGCGACATGGCACTCGCAGCCTTCGCTGCCTGGCTACCTGTAGCAGAGAGAGAGTCGGGCGCACAACTGAAAAGCTTCCAGTCAGACGGAGGGGGAGAATACACCTCTCAGCGATTCAAGTAGTACCTGGCGGAAAGAGGAATCAAGCAGCTCCTCTCTCTTCCCTACGCCCATCAGCACCAAGGTGTGGCAGAAAGAATGAACAGAACTCTGCATAACAGCATGCGCAAACTATTACGTGGAATGCGGCTACCCAACCACTAGTGGCCTACAGCAATGGACCACGCTGTCATGCTGCACAACTTGATGTCGTCGTCTTCACTTCCGAACAACGCGTCACCGCATCTGCTGTGGACAGGGAAACAGGGCAGCACAAAAATGTTACGAGTTTTCGGGTGCATGGTACAGTACCGACCCCCAGAAGCACGAGCGGGAAGATTCTCACAACGCGCACAATGGGGACTACAACTCGGCATCGAAAAGAACTACAACGCGTGGAAAATCTTCGACGTCCACTCCAAGGAAACAGTAGCAGCATGTGACGTAATCTTCTACGAACGATTCACGCTTCAGACGTACCTCGCCAACTTGCACGAAAATCAAGATCCCACAGGTGGTTTTCGTGGTGACCGAGCCTTCGCCTCAGCAGCGGACGAAGCAGACTGGGACGAGCAGAATGTGGACAACGCATCAGAAGAAGCCGGACCTCTCCCGTTCTGCTCCGTCAACGTCCCCATGGACGAAGACGACCCTCGCGAAAGCGCCAACGCCGAAGTCTTCTACCACTTCGCCGACAATGGTTACGTAACACCTGCGACAGTCGACACCAACGAAGCAGAACGGCTAGGGCCGAATTTCATACCCGACCGAGAAGCGGGAGATGAAGCAACTTATCC